TCCATATACAGTAGGAATTCCGGGGTATTTTCCCCATCATACAGTGCTGGAAATCCGACCTCATCAACAGGGGGGGTGCAGATATAAACTGGAATGGCCCATTGATGGAATATTTTATATTGCAATTTCTTTCAATTTTAATGTTGTATTGAAGTTCATAATAAATTCCATTGTATATCCTATTTTGCTCAGTCTGTTGCCAACATTTAGAATTTGCCAACAAAGAAGTAAAAGTAGACTTGCATACAGTCTCTTGTTCATTTTTTGGTGTTTTTTCAAAAATTAAAATATCATTAGAATGTGTAAATGGCAAAATCTGGGTTATCGTGAAATAAACAAGTTTCGCCATTTATACACTTCCATATTTTATTTTATTGGAGAAAAACACACCAAAAAAATAAACATGAAACTGTATGCAAGTTTAATGTAGAAGGTATTTTCTGTTGCATATCTCACCTGCATTTTTTAGTATGGGTAGTTGTGTCACATTCCAAAATGTTTCCTTTATCCTAATATTGTTCTTGCTTGTGGAATATATCTGGGACTGGATTCTTACAGCTTTGTAGGTTTTGTCTGCCATGTATATCATTCTGTTAATTTTTTTATTATTTTTATTTTTATTATGTGGTTTGCAGATCCTGATTTCCTGAATATAATTAGTTGCTTTTTATTTGTGTTTACTTGTAATCCCCAATCATTTGTGTATTTATGAAGATAATCTATTGCATTTTGTAGTCTTTAATGAGAAGTTGATATCAGAGCAATATCATTTACTGATACATACAATATAGGCTGTAGATAGTCATTAAGTTCTGGTACATTTGTTTCAATTTCTGTAAGTTTTGTGATGAAGTCATTTATGGAGATATTGAACAAGGTTGGACTCATAGAACAATTTTGCTTAACTCCATTCAGTTATTACATCACACATGAAAGTGGCCACCTTTGCCCTGGAATGGGAGACATGATGAAATTTTTAGCCCAGCCACACAATGAAGGAAGCCAAAGGCGAGATGAACAGATTGATGGTGGGATAGCAAAATGGAACAATCGAATCATAGCAAACTATGATCGAATGGGGAACAAAGGAATTCTAAGAAACGGAGTAACACTACGTGTTAAATGCAAAATAAAAATGATTGGCTGAACAATGTTGATCAAAGAAATTCATGCATGTAGCTCAGTGCATTTACAAAAGTAGATTTGAAACTCCACAAATCTCCACAGAACATTTTATTGATGTATTGTTTTTATTATCCCTGCTAATCAAAAACAAATATAATTCCAGTTTATACCAAATTTTAAAAAGAAATGGATAGAAAAAATGTAATATGAATTTTTTTAGATATTACATCAATATTAAGATTCATTTCAATAATAAATATGACTTTTTCACTATGTAAATTTTTGCCATTTCCCAGGACATCTTATTTCACAAAAAATTTTCCATACTCCTACATCTTATTGGGATTGACACATGATGAAAACATGAAGTAAAAAACATGCAATTTTTAATTACAACATGAGTGTTTAATATTGATCCCATATAACATATACAGCACATGTAAAATACATTTGTTGCTCTATTAGCACATACACTTACATAAATGACAAAATAAATCATATTTTACTGATTGAGAATCAAATGCAGTTGATGGTTCATTTGTGAATCTGATGGAGAGGTCCATCTAATATGGTATTCAATGCAAACAAACCAACATGCATAATTTAAAGCTAATAATTATACCTAGTATAATAATTATTTATCATCGTGATTGTAGGTAATATTTACAATGCAGTTTGGTTGACAGTTGTAGCATGTCTATGGGGATCAACTAACCCTCTTATAAAGAGAGGAAGCTCTGGTATTGAACATATCAATTCTTCAAATGCTGTTTGCCAGTTTTTTAGTGAAATCAAGTTCCTAATAACAAACTGGAAGGTAGGTAATTATATCACTAATCATAAAGTCTATCCATCATCATATCAACTCTGTAACTTTGATTTTACTTCTGATTTCAGGTAGGTAATTATATCACTAATCATAAAGTCTATCCATCATCATATCATCTCTGTAACTTTGATTTTACTTCTGATTTCAGGTAGGTACTTATATCACTAATCATAAAGTCTATCCATCATCATATCATCTCTGTAACTTTGATTTTACTTCTGATTTCAGTACATTGTACCATTTTTAATCAATCAAAGTGGTTCTGTTGTCTATTACTTGACACTAGCATCTGCAGGTAAGCCTCAAGATAAAAATTTAATTCTTTCTAAAATCAAGCCCAAGCAACATGGTTTATGATTGTCATAATTGCCTGAAATGTCACACCTTGGATCTGGCACCATCATTGACCATGTGTGGGTTACAATCAATAAGTTTTCCAGCAACCAAAATCTAAACATGTTTGTACATGATTACATGTATATTCGATTGCCAGACTAAAAACCAGTTCTTAGCTAAAACCAAATTCTAAACCATGGTTATTAACTACAGGTGATTCACATTTAATTATGTTTGATCATTATTAACTATGATAAAATATAATACCATCGTTGAATTGGTAGTTTGGGCTGGTTAGAGTGTCTTCCTGTATAATGTTGCACAGTGGCTAATTGTTGATTAAATTACAGATTTAACCCTGGCAGTACCAATCACTAATTCCCTTACGTTCATCTTCACAACAATAACTGGTAAGCTTTTGGGAGAGAAGTTCGGCAATAAAGGTACGATTTAAGTATGCATGTAGTAATATAATTTATGATGTCGATGGGTTTTGTAATCTGTGAAATTGGATTTATTCTCCCATTATCTATTATATATCAAGCAGTTACACAAGCCATTCATCATCTAATACCACCAAAGTGTGTTACTTCTCAAGTTGGTATCTTCCCTCCAATGATAACACCAGCTAGAGTTCCGGATACAGATTGCTTACATATTCGTGTCAAGCAAATTATGATTAACTCAACAATGTGTGTTTCCCAACAATGCAGGGGACCAGTACATTTGCAGCCCCAAGTCCCAAGGCATGTAGTCAAATGCAAAAAACTAAAGCTGTCTTGGCAGTTACTGCCATATTGTACACCAAAACAACAACATTGCCAGCCAGGTTGCTTACTGTTTGTGTCTGAATTTTGATATGTGATTGGTGTAGTAGTAGTGTCAAGCCAGGGGTGGTAGGGATGGCAAAATGTATCCTAAAATTAGCCATTGATTAATAGCCTTTTTAGTTTGACAGTAATCTACTCGTCTCTGTATCAGTTTCTAAATCTCCTTGGATTATGCAACACATTGTGTTAGATGGCCCATAAATGAATTAAATTCATGAATGAACTGTTGCAGTTCTATAACATACCAAAGGCACAGCTAATTTCCTCAACAAAGCCTCAACTACATGTAGTAATTAATTACTGCATTTACAGGCACTGTTTGAGACCTAAGTTATTAGGTGTACTGGAATCTTGTAAGTTTAGGAGTTGTGTTGATTAATTACGCTTCCATTTCTATAGAATAAAGTTTCATTGTGCTTCTGAATTGTGGTTGCAGATTCTTTCTTAAGAGACACAATCCAATGTTTCACAGAATTTATATTATGGAATAGATAGTAATTTTTGGTTCCCAACCATGTATTACTCTTCTAATTTACATGGTGAAAATGTAGATTAATGACCAACAATATGTTCTGTATCCTATATTAAAAATTTTACTAAGTCATCAATAATAGGATAATAAATCCATGAATGTTTCACAGATTAAATCTGTAGTCATTCTACTGTGAACTGTTTTATTTTAGCTGCAATTTTATGATTTTCCCTGACCCCCTGGTTTACAGTATTCCTTAAGTATATAAACTGTGTTTTTTTTTAGTTAGTGCCAGATGGCACTTGATACTCTTGTTTGTGAAAGAATGTAACTTTGAACACATTGGAAACATTCATTAAAAATTATAGGGTACCAGTACTAAAATGTGCCTTGGCAAGTTTTTTAATAAATTATGCCAAGAAAACCCAACTTTATAGTAGGGACTATTTTGTCTCATTTGCAGTTAATACCAATATTATTCAGTAAACTTGAATACTGTAGTACATATGTAATATATTATAAATGTATGTGCTAATCTTCCAAACATTTTTTTTTTACTCCTGTGTGCGAAGCACAAAAATGGGAGTCTTTGAAGTTAGTGTGTGTGTGTCTGTTCCACTGATATCTCAAGAATCATACATTGATCTTTGATGAAACTTGGTGCATAGATGCTCTGAAGTAATGCGCAGATTTGATTAGTTTTGGGTAAAAATCTGTGCAATATTAATTACCTAATTTGCACAATGATTAATACATTTTTGGCTTTTCCACTGATATTTCAAGTACTAATCATCACATTTCAATGACACTTGGTACATAGATATCATAGAACACTGCACAGACCTGATAGTTTTTAGGTTAATATCAGTACATATTAATTACTTAATTTGCATAATAATTTGTTTTCAGCTTTTGATATTTCAAGTAGTAATCATCACATTTCAATTAAATTTGGTACATAGATGTCATAGGACACTGCACAGACCTGATTGTTTTAGTGTAATATCAGTAATATTAATTACCTAATTTGCATAATTAATTATATTTCAGCTTTTGATATTTCAAGTAGTAACCATCATATTTCAATGAAACTTGGTACATAGATGTCATATGACCCTGCACAGACCTGATAGTTTTTAGGGTAATATCAATACATATTAATTACCTAATTTGCATAATTAATTAATTTTCAGCTTTTGATATTTCAAGTAGTAATCATCACATTTCAATGAAACTTGGTACATCGTTACTTAAGGACTGTGCAGAGACCTGATTAGTTTTGGGGTAAATATTTATGCATATTAATCACAAGTTAATTTTTTCCATGAATGTTCCACTGATATATAAAGAACCACTAATTGGATTTTAATGAAACTTTTATAGAGTATTCATCATCACATTTCAATGAACCTAGGACTATGCAGAGACTTAATTGGATTTTGGTAAATATTTATGCTTATTAATCACCTAATTAAAAGAATTAACACTGATATCTCAATTACTGATATCAATTATTTTGGGTTGAAATTTGTTCATATTAATTCTCTAATAATAATTCATAGTTTTTTTGTTCTAATCACATTTCAATGAAACTTGGTACATAGATATTACATTAGTATTACACTCAAATCTGTTCATATCAGTTACCTGATTTACATAATTAGTTTTCAGCTATTCCATCAATATCTCAAGTATAAGTAATTTTTAATTAATTTTTAATGTGTCTTCAATAATCTCAGCACACGGGAGTTCTTTCTAAGCTTTCTTTGATTTTTCTTTGCTCTTAATTCATGCAATCTCTGTATTAAATATCGTGGAAAATAATTTTAATAACTACATGTATTACAGGTTCAGCCAGCTCTGGACCAGTATGAGTGTATTACATGACATCAAAATGAATTCTCTGCAATGTTTTTACATTTTAGATACGTATATTGGAATGTTGTTCATCGTGATTGGTGTTACACTATGTGTACTGGATAAAGCACTGGCAAATCAAGAGTAACGACAATATATACAGTGATTCATTCTTGTCAAAAACATGACCTAAGAAAAATATATCTTGCATTCATGAAAAAAAAAATATCAAAGTGTGCTTTTTCAATCTTTTGATAACACAATATTTGCATAATATGATTATGCAAATATATTTAAAATATTCTTACTGGTCATTGTATGTTTTTCTATTTCTCATAAATGTGAAAATAACATTGTCTCTTAACTTCTTGAAAGTCATCATAAATAATGGTAAAATCTAGTGCCTGATAAACAACAAATTATTAATCATATTTAATCTTTGAATGAAAAATATTGAAATAAAAAAGGCACTGTTATATGCAAGTCAATAACATACACATGTACATTGTAAGCTTAAATAGAGTACATGATACTTCACATTGAATTAGATACCAGACATGATTAGGAGTATGTGCGAATAATGTTAAGATCACCTTTTGAAATAAATATGTGATGAATTGATTGTGTTTTAATGCTATGTGGACTTTTTACTTAATAAGTAATAATTTCAAACTGTTGAATACCTAATTTAGTCACCAATTTTTTAAGCAAATATTATGAAATATAATGCACATATGGACAAGTTTATACATATAAGCTGTATTATAAATGCTTTCATGTGATGGATAAAGCTTACTATATACTTTCACCTTCTTGCCCCTCTTGTTTTCTATATAGATTGTAAACTGTCCCAAATTTTCACAAGTACTAAATTTAATTTCAAAGTTTGAAGACGTGTCTAATTTGTCGTACCTGTAAGTATACTTATGTGTAAACTAATCCACTCTATTATTTTTAAGATTTCATGAAACAAATATTACTGTTTGCCATAACATTTTCATTTTCCAATAAATTATACTGTATAAGGTTTAACAAGTTTCAATAAAATCAAAAGCATTTGTAGACATTCTGGGCATGCGATTCCATGCATATTATTTTGTATGACAATTAGCTAAGTTTTAGCTCTTCCATGACTATTCCTCTGATATTTAAAGATTCACTCATTTGATTTTGATGAAACTTCATAGATCGATGTTCTGGGACAATGCACAGACCTGATTGGTTTTTGGGTGAAAATCCATGCATATTAATTACCAAATTTGCATAATCAGTCAATTTTCAGCTTTTCCATTGATATCTAAAGTATAAATCATCACATTACAATGAAACTTGGTACACAGATGTGATAGGACAATGCACAGACCTGATAAGTTATGGGGCAATATTTGTGTATATGAATTACCTGGTGGTTGGGTTGGCCGTTATTTCTTCATATCTGACAGTGTCAGAACTAATTAACTGAAACATTAACGATAGGGGCTACACATGATGGATCTACAGATACAACGATTCTGGGATGAAACCCAGAACCTCAGACAGACAGACCTTGTAGAGACCTTTTTACAAGGAGGGGCGACCTCAACCGGCTCACTCATGGCCATTTTGCAACGGCTGGGCCTGACTAGGGCGTCCCCAGGCATCGCTTCTCAGACCCCATGTGGTGGAAAATGGATGTAAAAGAGATGGGTTCCCAAGAATGATACATTGAGTTATGTAGTAACCACAGAAACTTGATAATTATAGTTGCCTAAGTTGTTCCATGCAGGTAACAGCCATGATTGCTCTGGTCCCAGACAAGGACTTTGTACCATAGTGGTAGAAGAAATACTAGCCCAGTTGTTATTTGTGTTCACGTTGGTATAGAGTATGAGTTCCACTTTGTGCTACTTTGTCCTCATCGGCCTTTAATAGTTAATGCACTTCACGAAGCTCATCACGAAATGGGCAGTGGCCTCATTTGCTGAACAAGTACAGAAACTTGGAATAGTTCCTATGTATTCCCAACACTTATGTACTGTCGAGCAATAACACAGTGAATGTTTTGCCATGAAATGGAAGTGATTCTGGCTGTTTATTATTTGTGTTCATGTTCATTGAACTGAGTCGATATGTTCCTGTTCGTCAGGTTTTCTTTGTTTTCATATGAAAGTGCCGCTTATTGTATGATAAAAAACTTCCATAAAATATGATTGGACAATTGCAGTAATTTTGTTGACGACTCATTACTTTGAAATTTGTATCAAGTACAATATATGACTTGTATAGCGCCAAACACAATTTCTAGATAGGGTTAAACATTGCAACCTTAAAGTTGGCAACCAATGTAAAAACAAATATGAAATGACGTTCTCATCGCCCACGATGCTTTCATTTCCTTTGAATGTCAATTCCAATGATCTGCATGGTTTTGTTCTTGGGAGAATCGTCATAAGGCAAATCCTGTCACATATACCGATTGTCTTTCAACTGCCTTTATTAATATAAACTAATTTATCCTGACTTTATTAACGCTTTAGAGACCATACCACAAAGATATTTATTCTTAAACTGTTCTTCTTTGGCCATACATGTACTTGAAACTTTTTAAAGTGGCTTGAATCGCATTTGTCTATTCGCTCACAGAGAACTGTTTTTCAAAATGATGTTCTGTTTTATCTGTTGTGCCTCAGGGTCCATTACTGGTCCCTTGCGTTTTATCGTGTATATAAACCATCTTTTAATTATTTAATGCCGATGATTTAAAACTTCATAATTTAATTTCTGACTGTGAACTGTAATTGCAGAGTTGTCTCGTGGTGTTCAATATGGAAGCTTAATATTGATAAATGTTGCTTCATTGCATTCACAAAGAAGCGTATTTTCAATTATTCATTTTGAGTCAGATACGGACATGAGAGTTGTGCTTTGCAGCTCTGTGGACTCTTCTTTTTGTAAATGTAAGATTTTTAAAATTCAAGATTTAAGCACTATACCTCTTCAAATTATACAGATTTGTGCACAACTGGCAATTTGCCAACTTTATTCATAAACAAGAATATTGCGAAAGTTTGTTTATGAAGACTACGCCTGTGGGATAAAATCGCGTTGCCGCATCATTTTTCAATTTCCCTTAAGCTGAACTAAATTAATAAACATAATAAATATGAAGTAGAAAAAGGACACGTACAGTGTATTTGTATCTTAGCAGATATATTAAATGTTCCAGCGGGGGGGGCGATGAGGGGAGCTTGTCTTGTTCTGTATTGTAATTCTATGTTTATTTCTTGTCAATACTTACTGAGCTCCCACTATACATGATGTGCTGTAAAAATGTGTTACTTTTCCCTAAACATTCTCTAGATATGGGCCGACAAAATAATGCTATTTCGGCCACATTTGGAGAAAACGTTTCGGAAATGACGTCATGTTTTACTAAAACCTCGATTTTTCCTAGAACTAGGTCGATGTTTTGAATTTGGGTGGCCGAGCCTGTCATTTTTTCGAGCATCCCGACTCATCATATTGTCGGACAGCTGTACATTGCCATCATAACATTGGCAACACAACTAAGCAGTTATCAACTGAGGGTAGTTTGGTAATACGGGTATGGCTAATGCGTCGGAGTAGACGAAGGGTAAATCGGTATCGCTGATATGTCTGTATAGACTGGAGATACGTTAGTATCGCTTATTTGTTTTCTTTACCTCGTTATTTCTTTTATTGTGAAAGTTCAGATTTCGAGCGTCAACAGAGCTGTTATACCAATACCAGTCTGCAAGATCTCACAATTGTTTCGTTCTTTACACATTGTTGAAACGTTTCCATTTCCATGTTTATTTTATCAGTGATGCATTATACCCGCAGTGTTATTTTCGTAGACCCCTCACCGACCACTGGTGTACAGTTCACAACACAAGTGTTGACTTGCAGTTTGTTTTCCCCAAATAATCACTTTAATGGCAATACTTGTAATACGAAACATACGTTGTTACAGTTGCAAAGACTGGTCACATGACCATGTTATTCATGTTCATGATTTATACCCAATATCACTTGGAATACAAAATAATGTGTGGACATAAGAGTGATTTGTTACACACAAAACAACGTTCGCGAGAATCGGGAGTATATACAAGTGATGAAAATGAATGTTTATGGTTTCTTGGACAAGCAGGAAGTGCGATTCGTTTTCTATTTCGTGAGCATCACATACTACGGAACTACTGATTAGTTGCTCTCTGTCAAGAACATGTAATCCATATATATATATATATCCCATGAGCGGATTTAGGGGGAGGCACGCGGAAAATTTTTTACAAACCCAACCCTCCGGAGGTGCTTCAAGTTCGGTCACGTCAATTGGAGCGCGCCCCTTACCGAATTTTCAGAATCCGCCAGTGAATCCTGTTCCGTGACACACCCTCAATATTCCAACAGTCTGCACTAATTGAAAAAAAATCACTGTTCTCTAAACAAGCTATCACAATGAACCAAATTCACATAAATGTAAACATTCACTCTCGATTGCAATTTATTAAAGAAATTATAGTTATTGTATTTGCAGCCATTCGTATCATTTGATTTGGCTTGGTTTGATTTGATTTGAAGGGCAATAGATATGAAAGTTGTACTTGGTAAATTATGTCACACACCTGTCCGACACGACACTTTTCTATTTCCAGAATGTTGGCATCAGTAAATTGTTGGTTGACTTCTTTTCTCCCAAAACTGTGTCAATCCGAATATAAATAACATTTAACTGTTACTTTGAAAACTAAACATTCAATCGATTTGTCTTATTCCATTGGAGGTATTCAGTTAGATAAGGTTAATGAGAAGAATGATTTAGGAGTAATAATTTCAGATTAACATTTCATAGTCACGTTAACAATATCATGTGCGATACTTTAAATATAGCCACGTTAGCAGCACGCAGAGATTATTTTGATATGGTTTTTATGTGTCAGTGTGCCTTAGGGTTGTACAGTTGTAAATTATCTTCTTTTTTCAGTTTACATATTCCACGTAGGAAAATGGAAGGAAAATGTCTCTTTTTAATTGTACCAATTGAACGCATAGAAGTCACTAAGAATGGGTTTTTAAGTAGTTTGCCTAGTTTTTGTTTAATAACAACATAAACTGCGAAATTTTTAATCTGGGATTGTCTACTTTAAAACAGAAGCTACTGCTATATTGTATTTAACAAATGTGTCTACTAACACACTACTGTTATTGGCCTTATATGGTTCTTTGTGGTTGTATTAAATAAATAAATAACGTGCTATTATGACGTCACCGTGACGGCGATCATCCCATACTTGAATGACTCAAATACTATGATTAAATTCAAACATTTACAACACTATACAAGTTAAAACAACACGATTCCAAAATTTACAACACTATTAAAATGCAAATGTTTACGGTGTTTGTCATGTACAAAAGAACTTCAAGTTGGGACAGCTGGACACAATTTTAAATTAAACTAAGGAAAGCTATCTTCCTGGATTTCTCGTTTACTATCGCCATCATCATTCGAGTTTATAGTTGTTTTATTTATTTATTTATTTATTTATTTATTTATTTATTTATTTATTTATTTATTTATTTATTTATTTATTTATAACCTTGCCTTTTTGTAAAACATAATAACCAGGAGCATTTTTTCTGACATTGTTTTCACCGAATTATTCACGCTTGCGAAAGGATGTGGGTATAGAGGGGAAAAGGTCGTCAAACGTGGGCATCATATCCGTCTCTCTTATATCAAATCAGTATCATTGGCACCCAGTAGCGTAGTATTATGGGAAGATGGGCAAACTGGGCCCAATTAGTCTCAGAAACATGGCATGGTTTGCGTGGCAAAATCATTGCACCATATGCACCGTCAGAATTAAACTGAAAGTCGGGAGAGACAATGAGTGATTTCAACTTGAAAGTCACATGACACGGAATGAAGTACAGGTAATTACTTTTTTCATTGTAATTTTAATCCAGTAGTACATGTGCCCACTCAGGCTTAAGTTGACATGCCTCATCAAATCTGAGGTTTCAATCACGATGTCTGAATGACATTCTGGTGGGG